CATTTTATGGGGCAAATTACCCAATTTCTACAACCAGTGTTTGAGTAAAGGAGGAGGATTATTACAAAATAAAAGACTTAAAGACATTACCAAATGCTATGTGTGGATCTTGTTTGGATTCTAATGAAAGGAAAGCAACTGTAAAGAGATAGCTTTGGGACTATTGGGAAATCTGAATATGGACCTGGTATTAGATGATAATGAAAAAACGTTGTTAGGTGCAATAATGGCACATAGTTATGTTTTTAAATGTTTTTATCAATTAGAAATGCACACCCAATTTTTTACAGGTGAAATAACACAATGTCTGCAATTTCCTTGAAAATGAATGGACAAAGATAAAGGTAGGTGGTTAGATGAATGAGGCTGGGATGTGGAGCTTTACGACAGTCTTCTCTTTATTTGGGGGTATGCTTGAAATTTCACTTAATAAAAAGTTTTTTTAAATATACTTTTGCTGTAGGCACTCACCCTTTACAAGTCAGGCTAATAAGTTCAAGATGCTCTTAGAAGAGCATTTGAAAGTCAAATCTCAGTTTTCATATCCCGAAATTCATTTTCTTATCTAAAAGCCCAAAAAGGCATGGGTGGTTTTTTCCTCAACTACATTACCCTCTTCCGTGAGAGCTTAATGAGACATGCAGAGTAAATGGAACTCCATTTGCTGCTCTGGTTCTCTGACACCATTAAAAACCCCTTAAAAGCATCACTCATCTATTAAGTGAAAGAAAACTCTTGTCATTAAATTAAGGGAAAACAACTCTTTCTACTCAGGAGTTTTGGGTGCTGTAAAATACACTGGTTAGATAAAGAGAAAGATAATACAAAAGTGTCGAAGCAAAAATGGTTGTACTTTGTTGTGGCATATTTCTAGAGCAAAAGGATAGGTCTCTTAGAATACCTACAACTTACTTCGTTCTTGGTCACCTAAAAGAAAAGGGCTTCAGATTAAGAATTAAAATTTCCTGAATCCAAAAGTACTGTAATGCATTTATAAATTTTGAGGTCAATACTGTGCAGTAATTTAATTTAGAGGCTATATGGCTACTTCACTTGCTCCAGATTGGCTAAGTAACATCCATAACACAATTCTCTTGTCCATCATTCCTTCAAATGTCTATCTCCAACCTAGAAGCCAACAGCAAGGCTCTTAGGCCCCTTTCAGTAATTCTTTAAGTAATATTTCCAACTTTATTTTTAAAAAGTCTTAGTCAATGACCTCAGTTGCTTTCACGGCTTTCCTGTGAAATGTTAAGTGCCATTATTTAAGGACACAGAGTTTCTCAAAATGTGCTCTGGGAATGTTGGTGTGTTAAAAATACATATTCCTGGCATCTCTCACCCCCTCAAGTCTACTAAATAAAATTCTCCAGTGATGGGGCCTAAAATTCTGTACCTTTAGCAAGTGTGCCAGGTGGTTCTTGCACACCCTAAAGTTTGACAACCACATTTTCAAGAAAATGGGGTTTCTCTCAAGTCTATGAGAAACATAGAGGATTGAGAAACAAATTAAACAGCATCAGTAGTAAGCAATCAGCCAGCATGTGGGATACTCTACCGGACAACTGACATTGTTTCTCCAAAAAGTCAAAGGCATTCCACCAGCTGATAAATGGGGAAACAAAATTCAATATATCCAATCAATGAAATATTATTCAGCCATAAAAAGGAATGAAGTCCCCAGCACCTTATAACACTACTCTTGTTTGTTGGGCCTTGAAAACATATGCTAAGTTTAAAAAGCCAGACACAAAAGACCATATCCTGTGTAATTCCATTTACACAAAATGTCCAGGATAGGCAAATTTATGGAAACAGAAAGTAGATTAGTGGAGGCCCAAGGATGTGGGGAGCAGGGTGGAGGGTGTGGAGTAACTGTCGATGGGTCAGAATAGAAAAGCACTGGGTTCAAAGTTTCTCAGTCATTGTTAAAGAAAGAGAAAAACTGTTCCAATTCTTTCCTCAAACGCCATTTTAATTCTAAGAGGATGAAATTATTGTTAACTAAATATTCAATTGATACTTACTCTAAGCAACTAATTAATTTCACATCAAAATAAATTTGTACTTTGATGTGCTGGAGTTAACATTTTATTGTGGAGGATTTCCTATGGTGGTATATTGCTTCAGAACCTAAGTTTACTCTTATAATCTTATAACCTTATATAGAAAACACTTAATATAGAATCCTCGACCACAAAATTAACCCAAATTACCAAAGCTTTCTTACTAGAGTATAGCATCTGTTTTCAGTGACTAATTTTAGTATTACAGTAGTATGACCTATCTGCTTCATAATTAGAATCCAATTTTCTTCTTGCCACCTGCTAATTAGGACTTGGAAAATTTTTTGTTTTTATTGAACTTAATCATGCTAAATCATCTTGACTAAGAAATACTCTGGGCGGCAAAAATCTTGGACACATGAAAGCTTGAGAGGTTACAAACATTCTTTTTAGGTTATTGATATTGAGGAGGTTGGCTGTAGTACTCTCCTTATGAAGATCCATGGAGGAAATTTCTTTCAGGAATATTTGTATTTCTCTTGCATGTTTGATTTATTTCTCTTGCATGTCAGATTTTTTCACTGACTGCAGGCAACTCAGAAAAAATTTTGACCCTCTTCCAGCAAGCGTACAGAGCATAATGGACTACATTTTGTGTACTAGCCACAGACATTATCTTATTTCCCTTGCACTCCAATTTCCTCATTCTTTAAAAAAAAAACAAAAAAACAACTCATTGTAATATATTCTCGTAAACTACATTTAAATTCTTTTTGGACTAAAATAGGGTATAAACAATGAATAAATAAACAAGCGATACATTAATGAATAATCTCAAATAAGCAAGCATAAGAGCAAATACAAAAATATTACAAATATATTACAAGTTCTTTCTAAGTTCTTGATTAAATCCATTTCACTTTTAACAGGTACTAGTTCCTTCGTCCTTTGTATATAGATGTCTAGCTTCCTTCTGATATGAAGCAACTATGAACAAGCAGGGTTTTACCACACAAATAGAATGAAGGGGATAGGGCAAGACTGGAGGTTTATTTTTAAGACTTTCCTACATTGGGAAAAAAAAAAAAAGTAAGTCTGGATTAAAAGTAAGTCTGAGGGAGATATTGGGATTAGTGTGTTTCTATGCAAGACAGTAAAAAAGAGGACCATGTGATGTATATTCCATTCCAAAGAAGGTGGAGAAAAGCACTGTTCAACTGTCCCTAGACTACTTCCCAGAAGCTTTTCTTTTTTTTGTCTAGGGGCTTGGTGGCTGCTCAGAGAGTACAGGTGGTTGACTGGCCATGGGTATATTTTGAGTTTGTGGATCTCAGGGAACGTTTCTACAGGTTGACCCATCATTTCTGGTTCTCTGAAACCAATTTCATTTTGTATAGGAGAGATTCTTGCAGTTTAGAACCAAGCTTCTATACTATCCATACTCCCAGTTTGGCTGAGACCTTCCCAATTCTGGTAACTGGATCTATCTCTTAGTGGACCTATCGGGTCACTTATAGTCCTACCTTCTCTTATCAAGCTCTTCCTTCAGCCAAGAAGGAAGACATATTTGGAAGACTCTGAGATAAGAAAAATGAAGGAACAGCAAACTGGTATTCCCTCTGCTCTCTTAAGCCACTTTGCCATGATTTTAGGAATATCTGCAAGATAGCAGCTGTTTGCCAGGATTTATTGATAAATTTTATTCCATTTCTTCTCCCCGCCCAGATCATCACATCCTAAACTACACCCTACAGCAGGTCCTATCATCCCGTTAAAAAAGAAAAGAAAAGAAAAGAAAAAAACATTTGAACAGCTTTCCCTTTCTTAGCATAAAACACAAACTCTACCAGGGTCGCTTGCACGAGCAGGCCCCAAGCTACCCTCTTCTCAGACCACTCTACTCCTACATTAAGTTCCATTTCCACTTCTGGGTCCTTAAATGGGTCAAGTGCTTTCCAGTTCTGTCTCTGGGCTCTATCTACCAAAAGCTATTCTTGTTCCTGCAAACCCCCAAACCCACCGAGACGCCTATCTTGATCAATCAATAAAATGTAGGCCATTTGTTTCTCTTCCTGCCCCGCCCCACACACGTGGTGAGAGGTAGTGTAGTACATAGTGTTTTGATGGGCTATATCTTCAGACCGTGTGGGTTCAAATACCAGATTCATCATTTGCCAGCTGTTCTGTGACCTTGGAAAGTTACTTAACATGTTTCAGTTCCCCCACCTATAATGTGGGGATGATAAAAGATATTTTATAGATTATATTTGTTAACAGACGGTAAACTCTTAGAACAGTAATACGAGTTCTCGCTTTAGCATATATTCCAATTTTATTCCACTTACGTGTTTGCCAAGGTTTAGTCTGTTTGCTCAGTTTAAGTCTGTCACTGAGGTAAGGCTTATAGTGGCCCAGCCCTGGCTGATTACAGTCGACTTATCGACACAACGAATGAATAGAGAGCATGAAGAAGGGAGGCTGGTCGTTCCAGGTTTAGGAGGGGCTGTGGGGTGAGCTTGTTGAAAGGGACGTGTTCCGGCTTCTCCATACATTTCCGGTTTAGCAGGACAAATTCTAAACACATACTGGACTAGTGTAGTTGCAGAAAACTCTGAGTCGTGGCCCAGCTCTGGGGTAGCAGCTAGAGCCTACCCAGGAGAGGCAAGTGGCCTGAGAGAACCAGATCCACGAAGGCCAAGGATGGGGAGGCGCCAGGACTCCCAGAAGTTCCCAGAAGGCTGCAGCGCGTAGGCTTGACTCGTCCACACGCCACGGAAAGAGCCCGAAAAAGCCGCGGGCGCAGCGGAATCGCGGGCATCAACGGCCCCGCCCCGCCCCGGTCCGGAG